CTGTGCGGCAACACGCTTGTCATTTACGTCATCCTCCGCTATGCCAAGATGAAGACCATCACCAACATCTACATCCTCAACCTGGCCATCGCAGACGAACTCTTCATGCTAGGGCTGCCCTTCTTGGCCATGCAGGTGGCACTGGTCCACTGGCCTTTCGGCAAGGCCATCTGCCGTGTGGTCATGACTGTAGACGGCATCAATCAGTTCACCAGCATCTTCTGCTTGACGGTCATGAGCATCGACCGTTACCTGGCCGTGGTCCACCCCATTAAGTCAGCCAAATGGAGGCGACCCCGGACAGCCAAAATGATCAATGTGGCTGTGTGGGGTGTGTCTCTGCTTGTCATTTTGCCCATCATGATATATGCCGGCCTCCGGAGCAACCAGTGGGGGAGGAGCAGCTGTACCATCAACTGGCCAGGTGAATCCGGGGCATGGTACACAGGTTTCATTATCTATGCCTTCATCCTGGGGTTCCTGGTACCCCTTACCATCATTTGTCTCTGCTACCTGTTCATTATCATCAAGGTGAAGTCTTCTGGTATTCGAGTGGGATCATCCAAGAGGAAAAAGTCAGAGAAAAAGGTGACCCGAATGGTGTCCATCGTGGTAGCTGTCTTCATCTTCTGCTGGCTCCCCTTCTACATCTTCAACGTCTCATCCGTGTCTGTGGCCATCAGTCCCACCCCGGCCCTGAAAGGCATGTTTGACTTTGTGGTGATCCTTACCTATGCCAACAGCTGTGCCAACCCCATCCTGTACGCCTTCTTGTCTGACAACTTCAAGAAGAGCTTCCAGAATGTTCTTTGCTTGGTCAAGGTGAGTGGTACGGAGGATGGGGAGAGGAGCGACAGTAAGCAGGACAAATCCCGGCTGAATGAGACCACGGAGACACAGAGGACCCTCCTCAATGGAGACCTCCAAACCAGTATCTGAACAACCCAGGAAGGCAACACACACACACACTAGCCAAGCCCTGCCTCCTGGCAGTGCCCTTCCCAATGCCCCAGCTTCCTGCCTCCCCTGCCCATGACACCCGGCTTCTAGTGCAGAGCAGTGTTCTACACGATCCCCCCGTTCAGAGAACAGGATTTGAGTCTGGCTTGTCCGAAAGTATACCCCTCTGGTCACGTCTCCCCTAAAGTGAACATTTTCGTGCAGGCAGACAATTCAAAATCTGGAGAAGAAGACATCATTGCCTGGGTGTGACCCTGGTGGAAAGCAGCTGCCCGACAGAAACCGGAAAAACCAAAACTAAATCAAAGTCCCGTGTGTATGTGTGCTTACACGCTACGTAATCTTGTGATCTGATATTTACATTTGTATATCCCCGCAACCCCGGTCTCTGCAGAGCCAGTACACACGTCTTGTGTTTGTAAACCCAAGTAGCTAGTTCGTATGTGTCTAGTATAGGTGAACATTTACCACAACGCTGAACCTGAAGAGAAGGACTCGCCATGTCAAAGTCAATCTAATCTAAGCTTCCAGCATCTCTCTTGCATGGGCCTTTCCCAGACCCAGGAGGAGCATGAGCAGTATGTTCATATAATATGTTTTTGTAAAAAAAAAATATATATATATATATTGAAAGTAAGGTAGTTTTGTATTCTTTATCCTAGAGGGCTCCTACACTACATTTGCTCCTAGCCTCACAGTCACAGTGTCTGAGCTGGGATGGGTATTTCATCAATTTCAAATAAGTTAAGTCAGAGTAAGAAAAGACAGTGAGAACATTTTGTGAGAGTCAGAATGCAAACTCAAGTTTGCCTCTCAGATACAATCATATCCATTTACCCAAAAGGACTTAAAGGGTTGTGGCCATAGATCATTGCGTTTATCAAGACATAGCCTGCTTTGATATCAGATTATAGTTTTCTCTCTTCAGATTCCTTTAGTTTCAGAAACCCTTGGGGAAGGGAGGGATCAGGAGTCTGAAAGGCAAAAATCAGACTATGATTTGCATAGGGAAACAATCTTCTCTTGAACACGTACCTGTGCCTGTGTGAGTGTGTGCGTGTGCACAGGCACGCACGCACACACACACACACACACACACACACACACACACAAATAATAATGAAAAGAAAAATGAAGTAGAATTTTATACCTTTAAGGGAAACCATGAAATTGTATTGATCCTAAAATCAAGATAGGACTTCTTAAAGAACAAAAACAGAAATGTAATTCCACAGCCCCTTAAAGGTGTTTTGGGTTGTTTTGTTCTTGGTTTGTTTGTTCTTGGGGGCAGGCTGTTGTTATTTCTTCCTGTCTATGTATATGTGTATATGGTATATATGTGTGTTTATGCCTGTGTCTCTGTGTGCACGTGTATTTGCATGTGTGTGTGCTTATACATGTGTGTGTGTGCCTATGTGTGTGTGCATGTGTGTGTATGCTTATGTGCATGTGTGTGCTTATGTGCATGTTGTGTGTGCGTGTGCTTATATATATGTGCATGTGTGTGTGTTTACGTGTGTGCTTATGTGTGTGTGCTTATGTGTATGTGTGCATATGCTTATGTGTGTGTGTGCCTTGCCTATGTGTATGTGCATGTGTGTGCATATGTGTGTGCATGTGTGCGCATGTGCTTCTGTGTGTGTGCATGTGTGTGAATATGTGTGTGTGTGCACTCGTGTGCATGCTAATGTATGTGTAGGTTGGAGGCTCATACTGTTATCTCCCTCCATCCTGATTTACTTTACTGAGATAGGGTCTCTTGCTGAACAGGAAGCCTTCCTGACAAGTGATACAGCTTGCCCGGAGAATCCCATCTCCACCACTCAAGCACTGGTATTATAAATGGCCTGCCAGGCCCAGATAACATTTTTACGAGCTCTGGGGATCCAGATTCAGGTCCTCACGCTTGTACAGCAAGTATGTTACCTACATAAGCCATCACCCTAGCTCTCAGAGGTATTTTTATGTATTTATTATTACTGGGGAGGAGGCATGCTTGTTGTGGTACATGTGTGGATGGATGTCTGAACAACTTTATGGGGCTGATCCCTGCCTTCCACCTTTATGTGGGTTGTGAGGACCAAATTCAGGACACCAGGCTTGCTCAGGAAGCACCTTCACCCATAAAGTCACCTCCCCTGATTTCAAATATGATCTCTAAAGAATTTTATACAAAGGTGGGCATTATGAAATTCACAAAAGTAAAGACTCAGGAACAGTGCTTATGAAACGTTAAATTAAGGCCAGCTAAAGGAGTATAGGTGTGTGCAGGGTAAAGGCTGGGAGCCCCTCCCTTCACAGGGACCGCTGTGTCACCGAGTTCCTCAGCTGTGCATTCGTGGGGTGTCATACAGGTAATGTGATGTTTTTAATATGCTAATTATGTTTTTCAGTATTTATTAATATGCTAATCGAGCTGTTCCTCACACCACTGGTGATATTTCCCTCTCTGTGTACAAGTGACAAGAAATGATTCAGCCCTCAGCCCCTTGGTTGATCACAGCTCTAGGATATGAGAAATACTAGCTTACCTTAGTGGACCATGGCTCCCCAAAACTACTAACTATTGCTTAGAAAGATACGTTCAGTGGGATTTATGATAGTCAAATAAATCCACCCAAAAGTAAAAGTGCAACCATAAACCAAGACTACAGGTATAGTTGTTGAAGAAAAAAAAAAAAAAAAGACAAGTGCATACAGAAAAATTCCAGACTGTTACCAAAGTTACCAGATCAGCTCTGGGCTGGCTTCCTGGCAGCCGTAACAAATAGTGAGCCACCGCTCCCTTTTCTTTTTGATACAAATGGGGAAAACTGGAAGGAAACGCTACAGATTCACTTTTACCTTTGCCACAATTGGAAATATTCATCTTTGAAAAAAAATTCCCTTTTTCCCCACTTAGGAAATGGCTCTAAGAAACCCAGAATGGTAGCCATCATTTCAGGAAGACAGGCCCGGGTAACACTGTAGTGTTCATGTCCCCGTAGCTTGAGAAATTGCCTCCAACAAGGCTATGATCCTAAGAAGCCATCAATAACCTCAAGATGGAATGTCTAAGCAGTGTTTGGAAGTATTCAGGAGCAGGATGGTCATTTAAAGGCAGAAACAAAATAAGAAGAGGACTTTAAGATCTGTGGTACAGGGCTCAGAGGTGATCTCACAAATTTGAAAACCTATGTCCAATCCCCAGAATCCACACACAAAAAAAGTCAAGTGCAAGTCATGTGCTTGTGATTCCAGCAATGGCAAGCTGGGAGGTAGAGAGAAATGGAAGCTCATTAGACAACTAGTCTAGCCTGCTCTACATGGTGAAGGTCCAGGCCAATGAGACCCTGTACCTAGCATTCAACACTCAAGGCTATCCTCTGACACACCACACACACACACACACACACACACACACACACACACTGCCAATGCATAACATCCATACACATGAACACACACACCATACACAAACACACACAAGATTAATAAATAATTAATTCCATCCAGATAAGCAATCAGGTTCCATGACATGGAAATTTATGTTTCTCCTGTTAATCCACATATATTTAAATTTTAATCAAAAATTTTTTAAATATATTATTTTATTTTATACATATGAATGTTTTGCTTGCATCCATGTCTGGGTACCATGTGCATGCCTGGTACCTGTGGGAGCCAGAAGAGGGCATTGGATGTCCGGTATGGGGGTTACAGATAGTTGTAACCATGTGAATACTAAAAATCAAACCTGGGTCCTGTATAAGAATAGCCAGTGATTTTAACCACTGAGCCATCTCTGCAGCCCCTGAAGCATCTATTCTAAAGATGACTTGTTCTCTGGATTTCTTTTATCAAAAAAAAAAAAAGGAACAAATCTTTTAATGTAAATGTTAACACAATTTTAGTTCAAAAAATCACTCTTAGCTTCAACCCAACATCATGAAGACAGATGCCATGGATAAAGGGGAAATGGATACAAAAACCAGTAATACATCAGGAAGGGCTAGCTCAGCAGTTAAGAGCACTTGCTACTCTTGCATAGTTTGCTTGCAAGGACCCACTTCGGGCTGCTCACAAGAACCTGGGACTCCAACTCTGTGGACCTGACGCCCTCTTCTGGCTTCTGTGAACACCTGCACTCAAGCACAACAAACGGACACACATGAGCATAATTAAAAGTAAAATAAATCTTTTTTTTTTTTTTAATGCCTCAGATCGACTTTGTGATCCTTGATGGTCAGATGGGTTTTACAGATGATCGCCTCCCAATGGAAGTGGTGACTAAGGGCTGATTAAACTGCACAGACTTAGCAGGAGAGGTATTCATTGGACAGCATCAGAGCACCGGGGTGCTGAATGATGTTGGTTGTGGTTTTAGTACCAGAGAGCTGAGTAACCTTGGGCATGGAGTTGAATTCTGTATAGGGTTCCTGTCTTATCTTAGAACATGCACCGATGATGTGAAGAGGATAGTGGGGGTGAAATGGTAGGCAGAGGGGACTCCGTGGGCCCGCGGCAGGCAGAGGGGACTCCGTGGGCCCGCGGCAGGCAGAGGGGGCTCTGTGGTCCAGAAGCAGGCATAGGGGACTCCGTGGACCAAGCAGAGCTTGTTTGCTTACACAGATCTGAATTTCTCTATATGGCAGAGCACAAGCGCTGCCTGCAGACCCTGTTGGCTCTAGCTTCCCAAATGTGAGATGTGCAGTATGAACGCTGGGGTGGGTGGATGGCGGCTGAGGTCTACACCCCCTCTGCAACCAGCTCCAAGGGTGACTGTTCAACGAAGGGAAGTCACAACGGGTGAGAGTCAAGCTTTTCTGCCTCGCTGAAGAAATATGGCGGCAGTTGCAGGGTGTGGCTGGGAAATCTGATGTGTGTGAGCTGCCTCTCAGCAGTTAGGTGCCGACAGGCCCAGCTCTTGAGCTTATACGTGATGACTTGGAACCAGTCACTTGTCTCATCCACATTTTTGCCAGCTTCAAAATAACGAATTCCCCAGCAAATGCTCTATCAAAGCAAATATTTCCTTAAGAGTTTGTTTTCCCGCCGGGCGGTGGTGGCGCACGCCTTTAATCCCAGCACTTGGGAGGCAGAGGCAGGCGGATTTCTGAGTTCGAGGCCAGCCTGGTCTACCAAGTGAGTTCCAGGACAGCCAGAACTACACAGAGAAACCCTGTCTTGAAAAAACCAAAAAAAAAAAAAAAAAAAAAAAAAAAGAGTTTGTTTTCCCTCTGTGTGCAAATTCCTGGGAACAATCCCATTGGCAGAGTCTCTTCATTTCTTGCTTTTTTTTTTTCCCTAGCAGCTCATGTAGGGATGAGGATGACAATCTTCTGTAGCTGCCATTACCTACTCGATCCAGCACCCACTGGGCTGAGAATATTGTCTCAAAGACAAAGACCAACCCCCCATAGCCATTCTGACACTGCCCACCCCTGCCTGAACTCGGAGGGGTTGAACACTGGTAGGTGATCCACTCGTCCTCCTAGAGACGTCTCAGGCTGTTCGTATCTGGACTATGCCTGAAAACGGG